CTGCTACTTATAAAAACAGCCACCACAAGTTCAGTGATTACTGTGTTCCAGCTCTGTGCATTGTCTTTTAAAAATCCTTACACCAACTCAGCATGGGTGAAGGTATGATTATTATTATCCACATATTCCAAACAGAGAAACGGAGGCATTGAGAGTTCAGATAGCTTCTGTGTGGTTTCCCAGGTAAGGAAGCCCGGCCTATCTGATTCCAGAGCCCACACTTTCTAACCATGTAATCTAGGATCAGTCCCATAATCTTTCTAATGCTTGGCACCTACAGCTATAAGGTAGAAATCTTTGTGAGGATTAGGAAAATAAATGTATATAAAATAATTATCATAGCAGTGCCTGGCATTTCATGGATATTAACTGAATGCTCTGTGTCATGGGTTTATGTCCCCCTGAAGATGTTGAAATTCTAAGCGCCCTCGCCTGTGAATGCGACCTTATTTGGAAATGAGGTTTCTGGAGATGATTAAGTAAGGATGAAGTCACCAGGGTGGGAAATTTGGATTTGGAGACAGATGTGCCCACGAGGAGAATGTCACATGGAGGTGCAGGAAGGATTTGGGCTGATGCATCAACAGACCAGGAAAAACCAAAGATGGCCAGCAAATCCCTAAAGCTGAGAGAGGCCTCCAACAGATTCTCTCATAGCCTCAGTTGAACCAACCATTCTGACACCTGCCGGCAGAATACATTTCTGTTGTTTTAAACCACCCAGCTTGTGACACTGTGCTAGGAAACAAATATGCTCAGCACATGTTAATTGTATCTTGACCTACTCTCTGGGTCTCTGGGTCCCTACCCTGAGCTTTCTGGGATGCTCTACATGACTGCAGCGCAATGCAATAGACAGGATTGGTCTAACCTGATACTATGGTCTAACCTGACACTATGGGTTGGAGCCAAGATCAGCCTTTTGGGGTCCCTCCTATCTTCTGTGCTCCCTTCTATTGCTTTCATGTGACCTGGGGCAGGGGAGGTCTTCAAATAACTCATTCAGAAGAACATGTGGGCGAATACATGAACAAATACCCGAGTGAATGTCTCACCGTGGAAAGGTAAAATTTCAGAGGCCAAGGTACCTGGTTGGAAGAAATTTGAGGTCAAGGAGGGGCCCGCCCAGGCCCTGTCAAACCACCTGCATGCCCTATGGGGCCTCCAYGGTGCTGATTGTTATTTGTCTGCACGCAGCCACCTGTCCTGCTGCACGTCAGGGAGATTTCCTGGCTGTTTAAGCCGCCCAGGTAGGCACCTGAGGCCTCCAGGGAAATTGGACCGCTCAGAGCGAGTCTGGAAACCGAGCCTCAGGAGCCCTTGGGATTTACGCTAAAAGTTTAGAAAACAATTACACTGCAGTGAGCTCACTCAGCTGCAGCCAGGGCCTGCTTGGCACTGCTCTCTAGGAACGCAAGGAGTCAAATCCCCTCAAGGTGGTTTTTAGGAAAGCAAAAGAAGGCCCCCAAGTGAAAAGATCATCCCAGCTGCTTAAAACAGGGTGGGGGACATGCCCAAATAGAGGGGATCTGTCCTCTATTTCTATTGTGTTGGGTCGTCTATATAAAATATCTAATGTCATTTAACAAATGACCCCCAATTTAGTGGCTTAAAACAACAGATATTTGTTGTCCCACATTTTGTGAGGGTTGGGTTTCTGGGATCAGCTTAGAGAGTGGTTCTGGCTCAGGGTCTCACACAGGATGCTGTGAAGTTTCAGRGGAGGTTCAATCAACCCAAGATTTGGGCTGGAGGACTTGCTTCCAAGATGGCTTCCTCGAGTGGCTCTTGTTGGGAGGCCTCAGTTTCTCAATCATTGCTGTACAGATGCCTCGGTTTCTTGCCACATGGGCCTATGGTGACCATTCGTCCTGGTGTGTCCAAGACTGAGGGGGTTTCACAGAGTGCAAGACTTTTTGTGCTAAAGCCAACATAGTCCTAGGTAACTCTGGGACGAGTTACCTCTCCTGTGTACCTCTCCTGGGGGCTGCTCACAACATGAAGAGTGAACTGAGATAGTGACCAAAACAGTAGTCTCAAGGTCTTTTATAGCCAGGTGCAGTGGCACCCACCTGTAATCCCCATGATTTGGGAGGTTGGGGCAGGAGGATCACAAGTTGGAGGCCAGCTTCAGCCACTTAGCAAGGCACTCAGCAATTTAGTGAGACCCTGTCTCAAAATCAAAAATAAAAAAGAACTAATATCAGAAGTCCTTGAACATCTTATGATGCATTCTGTTACCAAAGCAAGTATAAGCCGGGCCAGATTTAGGCGAGGAGAGAGAAGTATTATGATGTGAGAATCTATCTATCTATATCGTTTTCTATTTCTATATCTGTCTCTATATCATATATATGTATGTGTGTGTGTGTGTGTGTGTGTGTGTGTGTGTGTATATATATATATATATATATATAGAGAGAGAGAGAGAGAGAGAGAGAGAGAGAGAAGAAGAAGGAGGAGGAGGAGGAGGAGGAGGAGGAGGAGGAGGAGGAGGAGGGGGGGGAGGAGGAGGAGGAGGAATTAGAATTATATGGGATTATCATACTCCTTAAAGATCATGCTTTCTGGTCTTTTACTGGTAAATGTAAAAATTCCACAGAGGCTCAGGGGTACCAAGAACTCTTAAAATTATGTGTCTCCACAATCATAATCCATTCCTGTTTATGGTGCACTGTGTGAAGAGCTTCACATATATTATCTCAATTAATTTCTGACATTCTTTTTGTTTTGTTTTGGGTACTGGGGATTGAACCCAGGGTTTTGAATATACTAAGCAAGCACTTTACCACCTATTTCCCATTTTTTCATTTTACTAAGTGCATCAGAGTTATAAATTATATGGGGATTCATTTTAACATCATCATACATGCATGAAATATAATTTGTTCCACTTCAGTCCCCAGTACTTCCTCTTTCCCTCCCTTCTTCTCATATTCCCCTTCCTCTACTGTATTGGTCTTCCTTCTATTTATTTATAGTTTTACATTAGTACTTTATAGGTATCATAAAGGTGAAATTCACTATAATATAAACTTATATGTACATAGCATATTTTGATCAATTTATTTATTTATAGTTTTTGGTACCAGGGATTGAGCTCAGGGGCCCTTAACCACTGAGCCACATCCCCAGCCCTTTTTATTTTTTATTTAGAGACAAGGTCTTGCAAAGTTGCTTAGGGCCTCACTAAGTTCCTGAGGCTGGCCTCAAACTTGCGATCCTCCTGCCTCAGCCTCCAGAACCTCTGGGATGAGCCACTGTGCCCAACTCCTCATTCAATTTTCATATCAATCTGATGAATGGGGAGACTGAGCCTCCAACAGATTAATTAATTGAATCCTAAACCAGTGCTTTGAAGCACTTCCTCCCCTTTGGAACACTTGCTCTCATAGGATACCCTCCTCTCAATCCCAGCTGCTACATCATGGGAAACCCAAGACCCAGGAGGAGGCCAGGTGTGGATGTTTTTATCACTAGTTGAGCTCCCAGCTGACAGCCAGCATCAATTACTAGCCATGTGAATGAGCCACCTTGGGCTTTTCAGCCTAGTTAAGTCCCCAGATGGTTACAGCCCCAACTGAGATCACATGGAACAGTTGGCTCAAGCTGAGCCATCAATCCAGAGAGCTAATAAAATGGTGTGTGGTTAAAGGCTGGGGATGAAGCTCAGTGTAGTGTTTGCTGAGCACGTGCAAGGCCCTGGTGTTCAATCCCAACTCCACAGGGAGAAAAGGAAAAAAAAAAAAGTCTATGTAGGGCACAGTGGCATAAGCCTGCAATCCCATTTACTCAGGAGCCTGAAGCAGAAGTATGAGCTCCCATCCTGGGCAATTTAGCAAAACCCTAACTCAAAAGAAGGGGAAATGGTGGTTAAGTCATTACGTTTTGGCAAGATTGTCACACAGCAATGAGTAACCCAAACCAGGCAGCCTCATTCTTAGATGAGCCCCAGTAGAGTCTGAAGAGGGGATTTCTATTCTAGGATGTGGCTGGAGTGGGGACCTTCAATCATATCTAATGAGTTCAGTGCACGMAGTGGGGTCTGTATAATATGATGGCTTTTCTTGTTCCCTGCCCAGGCTGGGAAAAACTTCTCTGAGTCATAAACTGAGAGGAGAAACTGTATGAGCGAATTAACAAAAATCCGGGCAAGATTCCCAAAGTAAATAATGTTGATTTTTTTTCAGCACAAAAGAGGCATTGCCTAATGCTTCTTAAACTCACATAAACAGTCTTTGCTTCATGACTGACTTCCTATTTTTGAAATTTTCCAATTTCAGAAAAGTAACCATTATAAGCATCATTAAAAAAAAAAAAAAAGCAACACACTTGGAGAAGCCTAAACACTGTTGTGCACAGTTCCCAGGGCATAAGAAGGCCCTTGTCCTTGGGGACTGGTCTTTGTAGTCCCGTGGACAGGGAGTGGTTCCAAGATGACCTTGAGGCAGTCCCAGTTGGCATCTGGATCCCCAGGGAAAATCCGCCTCCTCCCTTCCACTCAGTTAACCAAGAAGGATGCTCACAATGGCTTTGGAAGATGATGGTTTTTCAACATTCGCCAGCCCCAGTCATTTACTCCCACTTTCACCTCCCAGTGTTTTCCGGTTCAGTGGTTCTCAAATTTTAAAATATCACTATCACCTGGAAGTACGTTTTAAAAACGCAAATTCCAGGGTTCTCCCAAGAAGATTCCCATTGTACAAGTCTAGGGTGTGCCCCAGAATTCTCATTTTAATAAGAACCAGGTGATCCCTTTATAGCACATCTTGAAAGCCAGGTGCATAGCTTGAGATGCACTGTAACCTCAATTAATCCCTAAAAGCAAGAAATCAGGATGGGGAAAACCTTGGAGGGAGTTGAGGCCTGCAGATTCTAAGCAGCGAAGGATCTAACAAAGGCATTTGGAGCAAGGGGTTTTTAGCCCCAAAGGGGTCTTCAGAAGTTCCATCACTACCATCTCAGCAGTTTCTTTTAATTGGCTTTACTTTATTATTTTATTGTAAATGAAATGCTTCACAAATTTTCCAGTCATCTTTGTGCAGGGGCCATGCTAATCTTCTCGGTATGGTTCCAATTTTAGTATGTGTGCTGCTGCAGCAAACGCTCCATTTTATTGTAGTGGATTTCTAAGAAAGATTTTATTAGAAGCAGAGATGTACAGGCTGGAGGCCTAGCTTGGCGGTAGATCACTTGCCTAGCAGGCAAGAGGCTAAGGTCTAATCCCCAGAACCACACACATAAGATGTTGAATCTTTTAGGGGAGGTACTAGGGATTGAATTTAGGGGTACTGGACCACTGAGCCACATCCCCAGCCCTATTTTGAATTTTATTTAGAGACAGGGTCTCACTGAGTTGTTTAGCACCTCGCTTTTGCTGAGGCTGGCTTTGAACTTGGATTCTCCTGCCTCAGCCTCCCAGTGGCCTGGGGCCACTGTACTGGGATGTGGTTGATTTTTTTTTTTTGACAATTTTTACAATATGGTATTTTTAATTATTTCTGAAAACCAGAAAACAAATATTTTCTTACCAGTTGAGTTCATCTCTTGGAATCACAACTGATGGTCTTTTCCCCCCCTAATTTTGAAATATTGAATACTGAAAACATTGAAAGAAGTCAGATACGAAAGACCACATATTGTCCATTTATATGAGATTTCCCAAACAGGCAAATTCAGAGACAGAAGGCCAACTAGTTGTTGCCAGAGGTTGCGGGAGGGAGTAATAAGGAGTGACCCTTAATAGATATGGGATTTCTTTTTCTCTTTCTTTGGTACTAGGGATTGAACCCAAGGGTGCTTAACCACTGAGCTACATCCCCATCCCTTTTTATTTTATATTGAGACAGGGTCTCACTAAGTTGTTGAGGCTGCTCTCAAATTTGCAATCCTCCTGCCTCAGCTTCCCAAGTAGTTGGAATTTCAGGCATGGATCACCATGCCCAACTAGCATGGTGATTAAGTCATTACTATTTCCTTTTGGTTTGATGAAATTTCCTGGGACTAAACAGTGATAATGGTTGTACAACATTGTGATACACTAAATATTGGTAATGATACATTTAATTGTATATGACCACAGTTAAAATGATTCCCAATAGACAGAACTAGAACAGCCATTTTACTTTTTACCCACAAGGAAGTTGAGATGGCCCAGCTTTGTCAAAAGTAAGACCAGGACCACTGATCTCCAGTCCACCACAGCAGGCTCTCTTCCTCAAATCCCCTCTACCCACCATCTCCTGCCCCAAAAGCAAAGTTTCAGGGGCATGCAAAGGCCAGAGCTGCATGCCTGCCTTGCCCACCCACACTCCACTAGTCTCTCTTCTGCTATCGCCAGAATCTGCTCCCTTCAAGTATGATGAATGAAAGATAAACCCGCTTTTAACTTCATACTTAAGTAAATCTTCCCAAGGGCTTCAATGGCAGCTGCAGCTGCCTGAGTGGCTGATAAGGACTAGGTGGATGGGATTCCTTACATTGCAGACATTATTGAGTTTCCCAAACTGCAACTGGGCAGACAGCCTGGAGGTGCTGCCGGTGGTTTGGCCAGGATGAATCCCAACCGTGTGCTATTTGTGCACAGTTGGTTCTTGTCTCTCCGGCTGTGAGACCACATGCACCTGTCGCATAGCAGGTGCTTAATAAAGATTCATTGGTGCCAAGGGTTCCTGCCTTGAGGATCATCCTGGGAAAGTCTTCCTCACCCTAAAGAGTTTAGGGAAAGCCTCCAGTTTTCTCAGTGCTCCAGAAATGAGAAATGAGAGTCACCTCGTCTGGTCGATTTCCAAAGTAGAATCATTCACCATTCTGGGAAGTGGTAACAGAAGCAAATAGCTCATTTATGTTTGCATTTTCTGGGGGAGCTATACCCTTTCCCCAGCATCTCAAGATTTTGCTAAGGTCCCAGATTCGGACCTGTTCTTACATCTCCTATAGTCTCAAAACTTATTAGAGGCTTTTTTTGGAAGTTCATTAACATACAACAGGGCAATTGTAAAACCCTGGAAAGCCAGTTCTCTGGAAACTTACTGAACTCAGCAACTGAGAGATCAGTTGAGAAGGGAAAGGCAGCCCGGCCCTTATGTTCAGGGTTTCTTGCTTTAGGAGAGAAAGAAAGCAAATTCCTGACAAGGTCACCCACTTGTCTCAGCCTCAAAAAATTTTCTAACATCTCAACTCTGGAGACTGGCTTCACACAGCAGGGATGAATGGGGACTGCAGGACCGAAAAAAGTTCCCATTTGGGATAAAGCAGGAGAGGATTTCTACAGAGCAGGGATTGGGGGTGAAGACTTAGAACTCAAGGTTTAGGCTGAACCTGGTGGGCTGCATGCGGTTTCACCAACGTATGGACAGAGGCCTCATTTCCTGAGGCTTCCTTGCTCAACTGGGAAAGCTCTCCCAAGATAAGGAGGTTTAGGAAATGCTGCAGACACACCCCTCATTGGAGATTTCGAAATGCACCACTATGCTCAAGAGAAGTCTTGCAGAAAAGAAACCTCCTTTGGAATTATTTAATACAGGACTTCCCAAAGTTACTTGACCTCAGAATTCCTTTTCCCTTTCATAACACTCAATCATATGTTTAAGAATTCACTTGGGACATGCCACCCTAATGTCCAGGGGGTGTTGGTTCTGCCCACTGCCCCCTACAGTAAACCATGATGAGTCATTTGGGCAGTTCACGTAATATGAAACCCTGCTACAATCATCCAGAAAGTAGAATATGTTTATTATACCTGTCATGGCATTTGCTAATCTTCCTGTGCTAGGAGTTTTTCATTCTCTCTCTCTCTCTCTCTCTCTCTTTTTTTTTTTTTTTTTTGTGTGTGTGTGGTACTGGGGATTGAATCCAGAGACCTTCTACCATTAAGCTATGTCCCAGTCCTTTTTATTTTATTTTGGACAGAGTCTCATTAAATTGCTGAAGCTGCCCTTGAGCTTGTGATCTTCCTGCCTCAGCCTCCCGAGTAGCTGGGATTACAGGTGTGCACTAGCACTAGTTTTCCTATGCCCTCTTTGTAATTCTCCCCCATCTTATTATCCCCATTTTGCAAATAAAGAAATTGAGACCCAGAGAGGTAGAAAAAGGAGGTCTCTCACATCAGGGTTCGATCGAACTGAGATTCTGGTCGTGACACACCACCCTGGTATTCTCTTCTCTGTATCACACCCTTTCGCTAATACGCTGCATTTTTATGGCATCGTGTCCAATTCCCGTTCTGTTCTTGGAGAATCTCACCAAATCCCACGAGGAGCTGATGTGCACTTAAGTGAGACATCTGAACTCAGAAGCCAAACAGACAGTTACAAGTATCTGAAGTCTGGGGCAGGTAAGACTGTAGAAAATAAAGTTCATCTTGGATGTCAAGAAAGCTCAGAGGCAGGGCAGCCCGGCAGATGCTCTCCATATCACAGAATCTGAGGCTTTTTTTCTGCACCTGGCCAAGCAGGAGAGGGGCGGCAGATCCAGATCTCACAGGATAATCAGAGCAGAGCCGCCTCTTTTGGTTTGTCTTCTAAGACCCAACCCCTTCTCCCTGTGTCCAGATATCTTCCTGCTTCTCATTGGCTTACACCATTCAGGACAGAGTCCCCTCTGGCTGGGATTGGGTCATTTTTTTTTTTTCTTGTAAAGGAGGAAGGCAATGGATATTGGGACCTTGGGATATTGGGTAGTTGACCAGATGCTTCTATATGGGGTGGGGGTGGGGGTTGGGCCAAGACAGTATCTGTAGCTGTTATCCAGTGTGCCCTTGAACCCCCTCCCCGGAGCTGCTTCTCAACCTACTTCTTCATTTTCTTGTCCCTCCCTGTGAAAGATTATGTTTTTGATCCCTTCCTATCACTCCCCCCCCCCCCGTAGCCACATCCTTTGTCATGTGACTTCACAGTGCTTTTAACCCTCTGTGAACAAGAACAACCTCTCTACTTTGGGTTTGGTTGTGTCAATAATGCAGCAGTGAAAATATGAAAGCTCTGAGCTCAAGTCTCAAACATTTCCGCTTTCCTTTTTACACATCTGCCATCAATATGAAAAGAATGTGGCCCCTCTCGGCYCACTAGTCCCAGGCAGAGGATGAGGGACACAGTTGCACCCATCCAGCGCTCCAGACAAGCTCAGCCTAGAGCACCAACTCACGCAGGCGCAAATGAGCTCAGCATAGACGGGTCACAGTCTGACCCACACAAGTGAGCTTAAAGTTGGGAATGATCGTTGAATTTGGGGAGATTTGTTATACAGCATTAGCCCAGTCGAACTCCCAACCATCAGCCACCACCACTGGTTGGCATATCAGTGGACCATCATGGACTTGCTGCCCAGAGAGAGTTAATTTCTCCCATACTCCCCCCCCACCCCAGTTGATGGAACCCAGAACCTCATGCATGCTAGGCAGGTGAGCTACACGAGCTATTCTCCCAGCCACAGTTGAACCTTCAGGTTGTCCCAAAGCCAGCCATGGAGACTCCCTAGCCATAAAGTCTTTCAGCTAAAACCTTCCCTAGTTATTGAGAAACAGGAAGGAGGGGCTGTGGCTGTGGCTCAGTGGAACAGCGCTTGCCTAGCATGTGTGAGGCACTGAGTTTGATCCTCAGCCCCCCATAAAAATAAATAAATAAAATAAAGGTGTTGTGTCCATCTACAACTAAAAATATTTTTTTTTAAAAAAGGAAGAAGAATGTACAGAGAGTTCCTCTTGACCTCTAAAATCTCACCCAGCTTAGAAAGTATCTCCTGTTATAGCGGATGAGAGGCCTTGGCCTGAAAAATTATATTTGTATTAAAAGAGAGAGAGAGAGAGAGAGGGAGAGAGAGAGAGAGAAAGGAGCCACCCCACTGCACCTTGTCTCAATTCCTGACAGAATTCAGGAACATCATAAAATTGTTGTTTCAAGCTACTARCCTTTGAGGTAATTTATTATGCAATAATAACTGGAATAAACATAATTTTTTAAAAGTACTGGCCAGGGGGTGGGAGGGATTATACCCAGGGCTTTGCACATGCTAGGCAAATGTTCTACCACTGAGCTATGCCCCCAGGCCTCCTCTTAAAAAAAAATATATAATATATATATTTAAATATTTTATATATATATATA